AGCTTTCTAAATGAAGCAAGAAGGCAAACTAAGATTTCCAGGATAGACTTTGGGTCAATTTTTTTAAGCACTAAGAAAAAATTACAGAAGAAGTATGTTTTTCAAACATAAGAACTATTATATTTTGGGAGTAGTATTGAGCACTACAGTGGGGGTGAGCATGAGTTCAGATAATTCAGTCTCCTTGAAAACCATGTAGCTACCATGGGTAAAAAAGGGCATACATTTTAGATGAATCCTATCGCATAGACTAGTGGATCCACTAAGTTAAGATAGGTAATATACTGATGGAAAGGTATAGGATGGTCCTCGAAGCGTGAGGTTAAGTGTTATATCATCACTAGAGGTCTTACATGATGGTTATTAGTTGGAAACACCAAAAAATTTATATTACATTATTATATGAGTAAATTTTATTCTTTAATTGTATTTTCATTAACAAACTAAGTTTCTTTTAGTTAAATAAATCATTCTTTATATTTCATGTGTATTCTTACTTTATATTGAGTTGAGTGCCTTTAACGCCCCAAAATGAACTAGGTTTAACTAGTGCGTCGCTAGTGTATCATGAGTTAATAATGTTTTAAAATAGATAATTTTGATATTAGTAGGCAGTGTGTAAGGTTTAGTTAAGTTTGGAAGTCAAACAACAAGGGACGTCCATGACGTTCGACAACTATACATCTATGTGCTTATGTGAAGTTCTTCTATGCCTTAGCATGTTTGGAGTAATATTAAGGGTAAAAATTAATGGTGTAAAATTCTAAGACCTAGATTACAATGTATACGGTTTTAACGTACCGGCACGACTCCACCTAGCATCCACGAGTGGACCTAGATGAGGAACCCAACCCTTTGGCAGAATCTATCAAAACTGCGAAATCTACGACCCTATCACCAATGGACCATAGTCCAGCTGACGTACTATAATTTTAGGGGTGTAGTCACACATTTGGTAGGATCTTATTCCCCATGGAAGAAGTCTCTGATGCCATCGACGCCCTAGAAGGACGGGTCGTCAATTGGCACCTGTGAAAGATGTTAAAATTCTGCCGATCTTGGGGTGTTTTAGAAAATTCACCCTAATTCTTTTGTTAACCATGGATGAGTATTTTAGGATCTTTATTATATTTTAAGGTTTTTTTAATTCCTACACCTATACAAGACCTCACTTTTAAATATTTAAAACCCCTCCCTTAAGAAAGAACTTTCCTAAACTCCATAGAAGCTAGAACTCAAAGGAAGGGCTTAAGGTGACGTTGGTGGACTTTTTCTGCATAAAAATATCATGGGTTTATTCTCATTGAGGTATTTTTTTTCGTACTTTAACATTCTTTCATTAAAGGAATCACTTAAAAGAGATTTCAAAAAAGTGTTTGCAAACTCTAACTTTTTCAATCTTTGACACTAAGTATGGGTCTTTGCATGAAAACGTTTTTATGGTAAAAATAAGTTTTTTTAGTGTTATATAATGATTTTAATGTTAATAATTTAATGAAACCATGTTTATGCTTGGTATCAGATTTTGGCTAATGAACAAGGTTTATTGCCTTTAGCTAGATTATCTTAGAGTTAAGTTTCATTTGATGTATTTTGGGTTATCTACTTCCTATACCAACTAAATTCTGTTGTTTTGATTAAATATTAATGAAATTTAGTGAAAGCTTGGATGAATTGTAAATTTCTCTACCTTGTATAATTTTCGTTTAAATGTTCTTGAGTGGTATGGTGCACCTTTGGTGGTGGTGTTTACTTAGAGTAAATGAAGATGTAGTTTCATGAGTATTATCAATATGTACATGAAGGCATGGTATGTGAAGTTACGTGATAAGGTTTATATTCATGTTGATATGCTTTATGAATCTTGAATTTTATAGCTTGTGTAGATTATGTCTAAATGGTGTATGTGTATATGTGAAGCATGCTAGTTTGTGAAATGTGATAATTAATATGCAAGCATACTAGAAGTCAATGATATGAAAATTGTGATGTAAAAGGTTTTCTCACATGTACACACTCACACACGCACTTTGAATGAATGAATGAACGAATGTGAATGGGGGATTGTAGAGTGGACTCTCCTCGCGAGTAGAGATGAAGTGTCTAGATCATCCCCTACTCTTCCTAAAAGAATCTAGCAATGAAGAGGGGATTTTTAGGGTGGAAACTCTTTGTGATTTGAGATTAAGTGTTTAGTAGCAACCTCACTATTCAAAAGATCTTTCTAAGATTGGATGGACACTCTTTGTGAGTTGAGATGTGGTGTCCAATAGTTACCCCTTGAATTTTAAAAAATGAAATTTTAAGAATCTGTGGGGGAGATATGATTAGCACCAAAAGAATATGAAGAATGGGTGGCTACACTTTGTGAGTTGAGATGTTGTATCCAATGTACCTCTAGAAATGAGTACACCTCGTTAGTAGAGAATGAGTTACTTAGAAGCATCCTCCTTATAACTTAACTATGCACCTGCATAGATATAGATATTGGATATTTCATAAACAGGCTAAAAGAATGACCCTACCCTAGGCAAATGGGGATCCCTTATCCGGTAAGGGTTAATGTCGGAATTCCATGTCTAGCCTCCCATGGTTTATGTCGGTGAAAGCTAACCCCTACAAAAGAATGCAATGAAATAAGTGTTCTAAAGAGTGTACTACTTAGGGTTGGTGGTGGTAGGAGAGTCTATCTATCCATTGCACTAGTAGGCACTTGAATGTAGAGTCTTGGTGTGTTTTTATATGCAATGAACGAATGAGTTTTTAGGTGATATAAATGATGTTATGTAACTTAATGTCTATTGTTAATAAAGTACGTTAATATTATGTTTTGTATAATGAAGTTTATGAATGAAGAATGTTGTGTACTTGATCTAAGGGAATCCTAAAGGAGCACTTCGTGGGAGTAGTACCATGGGATGCTACTCTCACATAGCACTTTGTGTAACTTGGTAGTTGTCGGCACTTATGTGAAGTTCTTAAATGTAACTGGGTGTGTCTAGTGTTTTGGTGTAGATTGTTTACTTCTTGCATGCAAAGTAAGTTTATAATTGGTAGTCTTGAGGATTACTTAGGTGTGTATTGAAGGGATTGTATGGGTGGTTCCTTCATGTCTCACCTTAGTGAAATTTAGGATAACATTTGTTATTGAAACTTCAAGGGAAATTAGTAAATTGTGAGTTGGTAAGAAATGGGTTCACCGTATGGTTTTCTTATGTTCATTGTAATGTGCATCTTTCTGCTAAAATTATGGTAGTTCTATTCGATATGCTAAATGATGATTACATGCTAATTTACTTCTAGATTCATGCAGGTTTTACTCAATTAGCATAAAAGCTTTATTTCTACTAAAATGTCATGTATTGCATGTTTTTACATAATGTCATACTTACTACAATATTTTTACTAACCCCATGCTTTTCTATACTCTATAAGTATAGGTTGGAGGCTAGTGGAATATTTGAAGGCAAGCTTGGGAATCAACTATCTCATGATTTGGTATGTCCTCATATATTCTACGACATAGTCAATGTTGCCTTAGTTCATATTTTAAGACTCGTATAAGACTTATTATGTATTTTTTTTATGCAAAGGGTTATGTCTCTAAAATATTTAAGTTGTGTCTTTAAGTTGGATTGTTATGATAAGTCCACTCTTTGATATTTTTTAAAAGACATTTACTTATTATTATTAATGTCATGAAAAGTTTTAATTCCGCACTACTTTTCATGTCTTATGTAATAAATGATCTCTAAAAGGCAAGTAAAAGACCTCTGAAGGGTCAAGTATGCCTTGTTCCGACCCAAGGGTTGCACCCTCCTTCTATGGTGCACGTCCGGGTCGTGACATTTTCCCGAGTTCAATATCATATCTTTGAAGTTAAGTATATTCTTTTTGAGTACTTTTGGGTTGCGTAAGATTAAGTAGTTTTGAGTATCCTTGAGTATTCCTTGAGTTGAGTATGTTTGAAAAAAGGTAAGTGTGTTCCGTTTTGATCAAGTTCAAGTTTATGTTATGCTTTTGATTCTCCTTACTTGCTCATACATTCCATGTACTGAGCCAATTGGCCTGCATCTTCTCATGATGCGGACACATGTATTAAGGATTTGCAACAGGAGCTTCCTTGATACATTCGAGAGTTCGATTTAGCTATAGCCTCCTTGCTTTCAGTGGATTTTATTTACTTTTTAGTTTAGTCATGATGTCGTTGTTTTTGTCCTGACTTCCATTTTTATCAGTTAGAGGATTCACAGATAGTCAATATAGGTTAGAAGTTAGTATTATTCATTTATTTTATTAAAATGTTTAAAATACTTATATTGGTTATTTTATAGCAAATTGAACATTTTTTATAATTTAGAGTTTCTTTTGACTTAATGTTTGGTTTTCAGTTCAATAATTTTATTATGTTTTGATATTTTGACTATTTAAGTTAATTTTCCGCCTGTAGTCAGCCAGGACGAAGGTTCACTTGGGAATAACAATGGTTCATGAGAGTTGGCCACATCCAAGGTTAGACTCCAGATGTGACAAGATTTTCACAATTAGATATTACAATTAAATTTTAGAGGTTTTCTCATAACTGCAACAACCAATTTGTGGAAGTTTCTTATTCACTTTGTGGGGGTTATAAACCCTTGCTACTTGTTACCATTTCTTTGACTTTGGTTTCGGGATGTTGTATCCTCTCCACAACTTTCTAATCAAATTTAATATATATATATATATATTTATATATATATATATATATATATATATATATATATAAATAAATAACTAGATTGCAACCAATATGAATTTTAATAATTATTAACCACCGAACTTATACATTTATATTTATAATAGAAAGTAAAGCTTTTTTTCAACAAGAATCATAGCAACAAAAACTTTAAACAACAACAACAAAACTTTCGCATTACGAATGTTGTCAAATCTCAACTACAATCCCCAAGAAAACAGAAAGCATTAAATTTTCAAAATTATCTTCGAAAACAGCTTCATGAAAATAAGAAATAACAATAATAATATATTCTTTAAAAATTGTGCTCTTCCTAATGAAGTAAATGTTTAAACTCTACTCTTCTCAGTAAGTGGTCGTATCCATTTTGACCAGCACAAGTCACTGTTGTTGAAGCTCTAGCATACTTAAGTAGGGTCCCGTGAGTTTTGCACGTTAGACATGTTACACTCCTAAAAAGTTACAACACCTTCATAACCTTTACCTTAGAATACACCAATAATATCAATCATCTCATAATTCTGAGCAATTGTAGCACTATTCACCTGGATCTCCATCAAAGGAGTTTTCTTCTCTTATTCAAATGCACAATGTTAATATACTATGACTAGATTTGAAATACACTACATATATATATTTAGAAAAATAAATTAATATGTAAGGTCTCGAACAAGATATTGAGTCTTAGTAGAGATCTTCTTTTCATGTCAGTTTTCAGCTCGCACAATAAAATGCAACAAACATTAACCAGCACAAAGCATCTCACAAATATGGGAAATTTCCATCAATTTTAAGGTCACCGATAATTGAACAAAAGAAAAATAAACTAGGTTAGTATAAAGTTCTTTTCCTAATTGGAAATGGAACCAAATCTATTGGCATTTCAGAATGCAATATGAAAAGAAAATCTACCAAAGGAGCACAGTTTTCTTGAGTGATTCATAATGATGAGGTATCTTATCCTTGTAGGAAATCCCAAAATACTCTAGGGACATCAACTCTCTCAGACAACAGTATAGAGCATCAACACTCTTAGACAACAGTATAGAGCATCAACTCTCTCCTCTTAAGCTTCTTTTCATCCAAAAATTTTCAAGAGTGGCATCCGAGGTACCACACTTTTTTCCAAACTATGCATAAAAAAGGTAGGGTAAACAAATTAAGAAGATTTAACACAAGATCCTTCATAAAAATATTCAGTGCTTTCTGAATTCTAACTTCCGTGAGGGAAAGACAATAACGTAGCTTTCGGGACACGTTGGAGTATATCATCATCAGACCATCGAAAACTATGAATTACTTGATAAAATTTTCCGTGTAATACAAGCTCCTATTACTTACGTTCTGTTGCTCTAAAATTGATTTGGCTTACATTCCTAAAATTCACATATGTTTGTGTTGGCAATTGAAGTTGGTGAGATGCAAAGCCGAGATGCTAACTTCAAATTTAGAAACAAGATTATCACATGAAATGATCTGGTCATTTGATTTCATCAACTGTAATGTTTGAAATTAGATTTAGTTAGAAGAATCAGTTCATATACTCCTACCTTTGGTAGCACACCAACTTATTTAGCTATGAAGGTTAAAAAAACATTCACGATCAACTAGTCTCGTCTAAATACCTTCAAAAATGTTGTTATACTATAAAACCAAAACACGTATCTAAAAAATTAAGCAAAAGAGGCAAAACTGGTCCCTAGAATTTATGTTTTAAAAGGCCTCTACCCCGAGAATAAAGAAATTTTTCTAGGATGGTAATGAATCATTTCGAAAAAAATTCAATAGAATATGAATGCCAAGAAAACATAAAGCAAGTTCATGTAAAATTATATATAATATAAATATAAATAGCATAATACCTTGATAGAGTCAAATGAACGTGTTTTGTGTCCACAAGGGGCTCCATACGGATGATTAGTACATCTAGATCTATTTTTGTGACTCACGTTCAATGTCGAAACAAGCATTACATATGTCACATCTATGCCCATCACTCATTCAACCAACTCCAAGCTATTTCCTTAAAATGTTAAGTCTAAATTGCTTTTCTCCAATATGAAGTAGTAATGTACTGTAATACAAAAAAAAAAAAGTTTAATATCACACAGCTGTGAATTAATATTTGCATAAATGAACTCGATCTATATTTTAGTCTTCAATACATAATTCATTTCGTGTTTTCTCATGTTAAGCCCAAATACTTCATTCATAGAACTTCAGAACAAGTCCTTTGGGAAGTCATAGTCTAAAATCTAAACATTGCAAAAACTATTTTCCCATAAAATTATTGTCCAAATAAACAAAGAGTATACATTCCAACCAAAGTTTGTATTATGCTTTATTTACTTGATTGGGCCTACTATTCTTCTTATTTATTGTCTAAAAGAAATTAAAATACAACGGTATCCAATAGTGTAATGCATGAAGTGGGTCGAGAATCATGAGGTTTCAGGTTCAAATATCAATAGAGAAAAAATACTAGGGAATTTCTTTCTCATATTGTTCTATCCTTGGTGTGCAAAGTTACCTGGTATATGTTACTATTAGAAAATGACAATATACCTTGGAATTAGTCGAAATATGCAAGTCATTTTTGATCTACAATATTAGTACTAAACATAGTAGAAACATGGAATTGTATTTCAAATACAATTCTAAAGAAACCATTAAGCTACAAATTTGGGTTTGAAGGGACCTAAATATGATCAGAACAAGGATGAAAGTCAGTTGAAAAATGTGCATAATCTTAAACATCAAACAATGTGACCCAATGTGCACACAAACTTTTTCCAAAGGAAAATATCAAGATACATATACCTTCAATTGCTTTGTAGCATTTGGAATTTTAATCGAAGAATCCATATAATTTATAGATGAAACAATATTATTTCTGTCTCTAGCAATTGGGAAGTTACTTATAATACTAGCTGTTATATTTAGCTAAAAACTAGAACTAAAATAAGTAGTTTTATTATACATATGCAAAATTCAGAATTAAATATGTAATACTACAATATGACTGTATGAAAACTAATGTAAAAGAGCTTTTAGTTGTATACATTTCCTACACATCATAATAAGTATAATACAAACTTTTTTGTTGGTTAAATAATATAAATTTTCTACCTAGATGTATTATAGATATCTCTACAGTATACATTTATGGGCTCATGTTCATTCTTCGTTAAATAACAAAATAACTAAGAAGTTTATTAAAGCAACAAAAAAGTCACTTACTTGAAAAGTTATCCTCCATATAAACATTACTAAAAAACTCAATAAATGTTTAAAATTTAGGAAAATTTTCTAAAACATAATGAAGATAAGAACCCTGACGATATTACATCTGTAAGGAAGGGCTGGAACTAAGCTTCTCCATGGTGGCAGGACGTTGGACGACGATCTGATTGGAGCCTACTGTTGCTCCAAATACACAGTAGACAAATTCTTTGTATAGGCTGTTAAAAAATTAGAATAAAAATATCAGAAATTTCAAAAATCTATTCAGACATAAAAACAACTAATTAATAAATAGATCGAAACGATGTGAAATCATTGGAATGAAAACTCACAAATAAGTTCAATAATCGATAGAAAAGGAATGAAAATGAGGAGAAGAGAACCCATAACTCTGTTGATTAAACGATTGAAATGCCTTGATGATTTTTCTTTGAAGAGATCGAATTCTAAATTAGGGCTCGATCGATATATTGAGAAAAATTATTAGGAGATACTTTTGATGGAGAAGAGAAGTATGAAACAACTGGAGAAAATGAGATTTTGTAAGAAAAATTTTGTAGGACATTAAAGGAAATGAAGAGGTCTCATTTTTTGGTTTTCCGAATCTTAATTTTGCTAGTTACATGAGTTATTGATTCCCGATTTCAATGCATTGTGTTTATATTGATGGGGCTAGTCAAATGTCCACAACTTGATAAAGTTGTGGTGGTTATATAGACCTCTGCAAAAAAAAGCCATCCACAATCGATATGTTTTTTGTAGTGGGAGATAAAGAACAAGAGGAAGAATAGATGACAGAGAAAGAAGAGGAAGAAAACTGGAAGAGAACAAAGAAGAAAAAGAAGAGGAGAAGTTGGATGAGAAGAAATAGGAATAAAATGAAGAGGAGAAAATAGATTTTTTTGAGAGAAGAAGAAAAAGAAGAGAAGAAGTTGAAAAAGGAGAAATAATATGAAAAAGAACATGAGAAGCAGCAAGAGAATGTAGAAGAAAGCTTGGCCACTAATATGGTAGAAAATGGAAAAGGATAATGTGATGGAAATACAGTGGACATGATGTGTATTCTTATGGAGCTCCATAGTGATGAGTAAAATATTTGTGATAATTGGTATTTCAAGACAATTAGTTTCTAAGGTGGATTTTAGACAATCACTTTTTGAATTATTGGTTTTTTGTGGTTGATTATTAAGAGAGATGGTTTTTGAGATAATTAGTTTTTGATGGTTGATTTTTAAGACAATTGATTTTTGAGATAGTTGATTTTTGAAGTGGCTTTTAAGACAATTGATTGTTGAAGTAGTTGGCATTTGAGAAGATATTTTAAGACAATTGGATTATCGAAATGTTATATTTGTTTTGATGGACATTGTTATCCGTAGTCTACTTTAAATAATATTTATAATGTACAGTCTTACCATATGAGAAGGACATGATTTTAATAGTACACTTTATTATTACATGAGTAAATGATATAAGATTGTACTAATGCATCCCTGTTACACATCTCTAAAAAGAAATTACTGGCAATAAACCATACAATATTATTTTTAGGTCTTTCTCTTTTTCTTCAGCCAATATTATCCTTTGTTTTTGTTGATTACTATCTATGTCGGTATCTTTTAGCAATCTTTTAATATGATCCCTCTTCTTTGCACCTTCTTTGAATAAGATCAATAGAAAATCCTCATTTTCTTCGGAGTTGCAAAAACATTCTAATATTTGAAAATTGGTAACACCATAAAATTTTACGTCTTGAGTCCAAGACTCAATTTTGATGGGATGATTGTTGATGAATCATTTTTAATATATTTTTTAAAAATAAAGAGCATGCCCCAATTACACAATTAAAGAATTGTGGACCTTGTTTAGTATCTGTGTGTTATGTTGTCAACATAGCTGAATTAGCATAATAACAACTATAAGACTTTTCTGCATTAGATGTTTGAGATGCTTGAGACATAATTTACAAAGATGTTTAAGTATTTTGAAATAGCTTAAGATGGAAGAGTTAATGAATCCTTTTTTATATACTAAAAAGGCAAATTTTACCATCAAAAAAGTAGTCGCTTGTACCGTTACCGTTGTAAAACTTAGATAATTGACTATTTTCACTGGTGGTAAAAATATATAGATAACTAAGACAATGATACATTTTCATGTTCTTTGTTTATATTGTACCAATGAAATCTATACTTCAACACTAATAAGAAATATACGAGTTGATATCATGAACCAAAAACAATTCATACTACACCTACTAGAATATAATGCTTATATATGGACCGTAGCCAGATAATTAAAAAGGGAGACTAATTTATTAATAACAAAAAATTTTATTGAAATTTATTCAATTAAATATGTTTAAACAAGTCTTGTCATATTCCACTTATATTGAAGGTGGTGATAAATCATGTATCTGAAAGACTTGTAGTTATTCAAACAACATCTTCAATGTAATGTGTGAGAAAGTACAAGTATGATATGCAAGTCACTTTTGATAATGGCGGAAACATTAAATAGGTTTTAATTCATACATGACCATTAATAAGCATGGTGACTATCACATCTAATCTAATATATATTTTGTTTTGTTTGACTTTAACTTTAATATTTTAAATTTTCACATAGCGAAGCCACTATATACACACAGACAAACCCCCCCATTATATATATCCACCAAAGTTTCATGTTCTTTCTTTTGTTTTCTTAATTCCATGAAGTTTGTAGGTCATGATCATTTTCTTTCTTTCGTTTTCTTATTTACATCATGTTTTTAACATTCAAAGAAAGTTCTTTTGAGCAATTTTGAGGAGTCTTCTACAATTTCTAGTAACTTCTTTCAAGACTCGAGCAAGTGAGTATGAAAGTGAGAAGAATGTATTCATCAGTCTACTTTGTCATTCCAAGACCCTTCATATCATGACCCATAATTCTAGAATTCATAATTAACATTTATGATAGTGTTAAGAGGAGAATTCAAGAAAGTCTTTGAGTTCAATTGTTAATCATTTAAGATCAACTATCAATTTGAACTTTGTTTTGAGGAAGTAAGTATAAGTATGAGAAGAGTCATATACATGAGTTCCTTATTGATACTTTGACCTTTGATTCAAGTCCTTCATGCCAATAACTTCTGCATGAACTCTATCAAATAAGTACCTTTGAGAGGAGTAGCATCTTCAAGTTCTAAGTTTGAGTAATAAGTTTCTAACAAATTTGAGTTTATATTTATAATCATCGGACTATTACTTGTTAACCATATAGTCCATTAGTTGAATTGTTCATGCTCATAATTTCGCATGAACCCACCGAGTTAAGCATTCTTTAAATAAGTAGTATCATCAAAATTCTTGAGTTCCATGTATTATGTTCTTTCTATGCTTATTGAAAACCTTGTAGTGAGTCATTCAAGTCCATAATTCTGCAGGAACCATATTTTAGTAAGTCTTTCATAAACGTTTTAACATTTTCTTATAACTTAAGCGATGAGTTGAGTAAAGAGTAAGAAGAAGTTAATTTCTTCACATTTTATATGGGAACTAAGTATTTTCAAGTGTAAATATTTTTTTTTCATTCAAGATGAGAGGAAATTGAGATTTCTAAAAGTGTTTTAAAATGTTTTCTTATTTGAGAAAGAAAGGAAACATGTATTCGGAAAAAAAATTAAGCTATGTTCTGAGGAATTATCTTAAAACAAAGAAATAAGTTTGTTTTAAAAAATATTATGAGATAAATATATTTTTTTGAATAGTATGAGCATCGAAATGGGGATGCGAGTTCATATTGACTCAAGTCTTAATAAACCATGTAAACATCATGGGTAGTAAAAGATACTTTTTAGATGACTACTTAAGATGATTTAAGTATAAGCTAGTGGATCCACTAAGCTAAGACTTCTATATGACGGTATAGTATATGATAGTTATAATAGTGTTAGCAAGTTGTTGTATCTCCACCAAGAATCATACTGGTGGTTGTCAGTTCGAAAATCTCCCACAAAAATTATATTACTTTATAATATGAGTAAAGTTGCGTTTGTTATTTTTTTTCTTTAATGAACAAAGTTGTTTTCTACTATTTTAAAAGATTTAATGGAATTTCATGTGTAATATTTCTTACTATTGAGTTGAATACCCAATGTCAGGTATCATATCATTGAGTTGAGTATGTAATATTTGTATGGAGTATCTAATTTTTGAGTTGATTTATCTTATTTTCTTGAGTTGAATGAGTTCAAAAGAGGTAAGTTATTTCTTTTTATCTAGTTCAAGCTTATGGTGATGCTTTGCAATTCCTCTTACGTGCTCGTACATTCCACGTACTAAGTTATTGTGACTGCATCTTTTCATTATGCAAACACATGTATTTTGATCATTAACATGAAATTCGTTGATACATTGGAGAGTTGATTACCTTATGCTGAGCCTCCGAGCTTCTGGAGGATTTTATTTACTTTTTAGCTTAGTCACGATGTTGTGAGTCTTGTCCTTACTTCCATATTTGTCATTTAGAGGCTTGATAGATACTCAGTATAGTTGAGAAGTCAGTATCATTTTTTTTATTATTAAATATTTTAAAGACTTAACTTGTCTATAATATGGAGATATGTATACATTATTTTATTTGGAGTACTCTTTTTGCTTAAAGTTGGTATGAGAGTTTCGTGAATTTTTATTAAGTTTTTCACCTTTTTATGATTAAGTAAGTATTTCGCTTATAATTAGCCAGAATAAGGGCTAGCTTGATGACCAACAATGGTTCTAGAGTGTCGGACACATTTGGGGTGTAGGCTCGGGTCATGACAAACTTGGTATCAAAGCACACAATTCAAGAGTCTTAGGGTGACTATAAGTCGTGTCAGTAGGAACTTGTTTATAGTTGTGAGAACTCCACTTTTATAAATGATGGATTACTGATATTTAAGATAAATTTCACTTCTTTCGTACCCTTAATCATGAAATGGAGTTATGTCATAAAGATTTATTTATACTCGTGTGTTTCTCAAATTCATTCAACTACCCGTCATACTAAAGGTGGTTGAAAAGTAAAGTGTAAAGATCCTTATGGATGAGTATTCTTGGTAAGAGTCTTAAGAAAGTCATGAGACTCTACAGGGGCTTGAGATAATCCCATGAGTAAAAATTGTTCAGTTTAAAAGTAATGCCTTCATGTTCATATGAATCGTGTGTTCAAGCAAAAAGTGACTCGTACTCTATTCTTTAAGCACTATTTAAGTGTAGATCCTAATTAGAATGTACGTTTATATCTTGGGTAGTATTTTCACCAAAAAAGGAGCATGAGTTACGAGTTCATGAGTAGTAGTAGTGAAAGAACCTGGAGTTAAAGGAACGTATGTAGAGGTTTATTCATTTAAAAGAGGAAGATAACATTTTGAAGAGATATGTTACTATTGTCATGCGCAGAAACATCACATTTAGCAAAACTCAAAGACAACAACTATAATACGACTTCATTCATATTGAATTAAAACAAATAGGGAATTAGGGTTGGGAGAACATTATAATTACAACAAGGAGAATTTAAATCGAACAAATTAGAATGACCCGAAATATTTAAAAAGTGATTATAACTAAAACAAGAGATTTCAGCCAACAATCACAATAAAAGGTGGAGTAAAACAATCAACAATTATATTTAATTCTTTGATTCAATGAGATTTCAACAGAAAATTAGGCAATATGAAGGCATACAATTGATTTTAGAAGTTCACATTAAGAGTAATTTCACAAAGATGTTCAAAACATTAGATAAACTAAGAGAAAAGACATAAAGTTATACCAGTAGTTGTTTCGAAATTTTCAAAAGGCAACTAAACTATGCAAGCGTCCTATTACCCCCCTACTCAATGTTAGATTGATATTATTACATCATTTTTTGTCCACCTTGCATGGAGAGTGTATGCACTCTCTTAAAACACACTTTGCAAGTATTTACCTATAAAACACATTTTCTTGTTTGTTGATTTTTTAAACTTTTTCTTCTTATTGCTTTTATATTTTTGTTTCTTTCTTCCTCTTAAAAAATTATTTTTCATCTTGAAATTTCTCACATTAGTCACTTTTTACCACATCTCCATCTTCCCTTTTTACTACTAGTAGTTTAACTCTCTTCAATTTTAAAGCTATATATAAATAGTTTATTACATTTTAAAATTATGATAAACCCCTCAGATTTCAAGATGATTAGTAGGTATTATTTGGTCTTTTAAATTCAAATTTCAAATAAAACTTTTCAATTTTTGGAGAA